GGGGTGGCGGTCATAAATAGACTAAATAGTGGCAAAACTATTTTATTAAAAGCCAACGTTTCTACCCGACTTTGCAGGTCTTTTTCAGCGCTAGAACGGACAAGATGCAAAAAGATATTGAGAACTGTAGAAGTTACATCATATTTAGAAAAAAAATTACAATGTGAATAAACTTATTAAAATTATAAAAAGAGTGAATAAATTTATTAAAATTATAAACAGTAAGTACATTAAAATATAAAAAGAGTAAGCTAAGTAACAAGATCCTAAACTGAAGTAAATAGATGATAACAATTGTTGTAGTATGATATTTAATATAATATACAATTGTTATCATCTATTTACTTCAGTTTAGGATCTTGTTATTTAGCTTACTCTGTTTATATTTTAATGTACTTACTGTTTATAATTTTAATAAGTTTATTCACATTGTTTATAATTTTTTATCTAAATATGATGTAACTTACACAATTCTCTATATCTTTTTGTATCCTGTCCGTTCTAGCCCTGAAGAAGATCTGCAAATTCTGGTCGAAACGTTGGCTTTTAATAAAACAGTTTTGCCACTATTTAGTCTATTTATGACCGCCACCCCGGTCCATCTCCTTCCTCTTGACTTACTATTTGTGGTTCAATTAATCCTCTGAAATAATTCATGTGGAAACCTGAATGTTTTTTCTTTGAACATTTTTCTATAGTGTCTTATTCAATCGCTCGTTTAGAAATAAACTTTAAATTTAACCTAATTTTCAAAAATACATTTTCATTTACATGTTTATAAATCTCTTCATTGCAATAGGAAATAGGCAATCGGGGTTTTCAGTTAGTAGTAAATCATAATATTTTGTTTAACAAAAGAATGTTTTAAATTATGAAAGGACGGTTGACGGTTTGCTCGAAATTGAACATACAACCATATGTTTAATTAAGTTTTGAAAACTCCCTCTCAAAGCAAACATCACTGTATATACTATCCGATGTCCGTTGTGGTGTTGAAAAATGAACGTACGAAGTGCTTCTGATTCCATAAAGACCTAATGGCACCTCATCCCAGTTGAGCTTCAAAAGTACTCTTTGTAATTTTCTTTGGAGAGATGACAATCGTTGGAACAACAAAAGCTAAAGACCCCGCCAAGTGAAGAAATTAGCCGCAGGAGGCCTATGCAAACACCCCCACCAGTTGCATCAAACTCAACTGGTTTCTATAACGGGGCTCTCAAGCCATCTTTAATATAGGTTTTGTCGATACTTAATAGCGATATATACGTACATATATATATATATATATATATATATATATATATATATATATATATATATATATATATATATATATATTAACCATAACAATACCATAGTAAACTATAGTATACACATATAGTTTTTTTTTGTTCTCTTTTGGCTTTAAGATTTGTAAAAGTAAGTCCTATTTTGCTAGTAAAATATTTTAATTATCATAGTAAGGTGAAATTACACTGGATATATATTAATTATTTATAGATAGATGATCATTGAATGTAACTTATATGGAACTTAAACTAGAAAGACTAATAGTTAAAAACTGAGGTGAATTAGAATTCAAATGAGAAATGAGAATAAGAGGCGACTTTTATTATATGACTGATTTTATGTCATTCAAAAACTTTATCAAGTCACGGGCGTTATCTTTGTTCATCGACCGAAAAAGTTAGCTCCATCATCCATAGTTTGCGATCCTAAACTAATTCTTCTTCGCTTTTCGAATCTTTTGCACTTGAAGGCAATGTGTCTTGGATCCTCCAAGCATTGGCATGTTGGGCAGAGACCACTCTCATACATATAGTTATTTATTTAATAGTTAACGTAATCTGTAAAAAAATAATTCTGCTTTTTTTTTTTGACAATATTTCAAACGTTTTAACTTCTAAACAGTTTTTCTTACGCTTCTCTGAACACTACCTTTCTTTTCATTTTAAAAAATATGCAAATATTGTTTATTTTTTTAATTTTCTATAAGAATTTAATAAGTATTATAACATTCAAATTGTTGGATCTACCCACATCTTTCTCCGTATTAATCAGATCGTTAGAATATGATTCAAAATCTAAACTCAAACGTTCGCTATTGATAAAAATCAAGGATGGATCTACGGGGGAGGAGGGACTTTCGGGCTGAAGCGACACCCAAAATGATAAAATGTAACCATATAATAAATAATAGTTCATTATAAAGAGGATGAAATACTGAACATTTCTCTTGCTTGCAGTATACAGGTCTGATTTTTAGTTTCTGAGATATTTTAATCCACATCTTCAACAAAAGTCATTATCATTTGGTTTTTGACAATATCTGTTCCCTTTTCGCCTCGTAAGATGGCGTCGCGTTGAGATACAATTTTGAATCATAGCTCATTTCTGAGAGGATGAAATCCTGAACATTTCCCTGTACAAAAATATGCAGGTTAGATTTTTAGTTTGAAATATTTTAATCAATATCCAGTTCAATTAGTCGACTTTAGTCGAGCGTTTCACATCGGAGATCTGATGGCTCTAGTTCACTCTCCACAAAAAAACACGTCTAAAGAAATTTTACTTTGGGGAAAAAGGGATTGTTCGCTTCCATTTAGCAAAATACATAGGTTCATATATTTCTTACTGATTTCCAATAAATCATTTCGGATAATTTAACAGGAAGTTCCATTCTAAAAGTATGCCTTTCAAATTAAATATATGCCTTTTTATTCTTTTAAAGACATACAGCCCTCCTTTCATTCGGGACAGTGGTGGCCAATAGTGTCAGTGTTTTCCACTTTAACATTCTCGAGTTTAGTGGCGCTAGTTTGAATCTGTCCTGAGTGGGTTTAAATTTATTTCATGGCAGGCCCATGATGTGAATCTCGTCCTCCTCACTCTATTTAGAGTATGTGGATTATATATAAGTAATACCCTCCATAAGCCAGAGATGGCCAGTTTGAGAATAAAAGAGAAAAATAGTGCTGTATTTTCTTCTGGCTTGCCTATCAAAATCTTAAGAAACACTATTATTTTATTAAATTGCTTTACTTTGATGTTCAGCATGTTGCGCCATATCTTTCCAGGTTCATATTAACTATGCTCAAGATATGAGGGATTGTTCTCTGCAATTATAGCTTTTCTCGCCCTCCCTATGTCAGATATGGTGAGAGGTAGGTGGTAAACGGGGAAAAAAAAATTAAGTGTAGATATTACGCCAGAGAAAAATACTCGTTAAGACTAATTATTCTAGCTGATGATGGGTGTATTTAAGGTTTTGTTTAAAACTGGTACTAAAGTTGAGTTCGATTTTTTTAAATATTTTAAAATGCTCTTTTATTCAAAAGGTTTATTCTTCGAGTTCATTTTTAAAGGGTCCCTTTAAAAAAAAAAGAGAGAGATTTCAAGTTAGCTTTTGAATTTTGCATTCCTCGCTTGATTTCGCTTTTCTTTTCTTGCGAGAGGGTCGACAATGACTGCGACGTATCATAAATATTGCCTCGACAAAACCCCTAAAAAATGGATCCTCGTAGAAGGGGCTACAGGAAGGGATGGGGAGGGAGGAGTGGGAGGGAGAGAGAGATAGGGAGAGAGAGAGAAAACCTTTACTAAATTAAAGGAAGGTAAGTGGGGGGAGAGCCCCTCCCCCCCTGTCTGAATCACTTTTAGCAAACCAAGCCTAGACTCCAACGCGGGGACAGAACGAAAAGTCCCCTCTGATCGATACTACATCCCTCCTTCCTCAACCAAACACTATTTCACCTTCTCTTCCCAATGGTTTCCTCTCTCTGCGTTTCATTTGTTTCAAGGTTCACTGATGTCTCGCTCATTCTCTTCCTACATATGACGGAGTAGTGTTCAATTTATAGGAAACTGTATAGTATGTGACATATATATGTTACATACTCCAGGAATTTTAAATAAACTAGTATTGAGAATCCTGTTGATAATATATAGAGATGGAATTATTTTCGACTGTTATTTTAAAATTATGAGGATGAAAAAAAAGACACCATTTACAATCTATATATGGTTTATTAAGTTTGCTGTTAATGCTGCAGTATGCTGTTATTCGAGAAAACAAAATCACTATGACATTACTAAATAGTGTAATACCAGGGACATTGCTGCAATTATTTTGGGAGCAGAGGGGAAAGTCTCAAATTTCCCAAGTATTTTAATCGATAGATATAATTTTTCCCATACATTCATTTTTAAATATATGTATTTATTAATTACATTATTATTTTAATATTTACAAATCTTTTGGATTTGGACTTTTAACTTGCATGTTGGAAATATTGTAAAAGACAGAATAGCGTTTAACTTCAACAATATTGTTTTAAAATAGTTTGAAAGTAGATTTTCAAGTTTCAAATTATTGAGACCAAGACACCTCATCTGCTTCCCTTTTCAAATCAACCTCTCCGAATTCTCCCAATAACTATTTCCTCTACATTTGAAACTCGTGTAGTTAACTATTCCAAATCAATATCGTTTAGAAATTATTTGTATTCCGTTTTGTATTTATTAATTAAGTCAAGACGTGTCAGTGAAATGATTTAAATAAAACAAAATGCCCTGTTCGCTTAGGAAACAATTGTCATTTATATTATCGTGTTAATTAATAACTCAATAGATTATTACTTTTCTTTCTTCTTAAACAATAAAATTTAAATACTTTTAAGCTCTTGCTATGTTTTTCAGATATTGGTAAATTAATTTCTATATCAGCAATTAATATATACAGTAATCAGAAGTGGGTTTATTGAAGATGTCCTGATCGACACAACGTTGAATTTTTCACAAAAAAAAAAGTTTTGATAGGATTATAGCATTAAGAGTTTCGATTTTAGTAAAAATATGTTAATTTTAGAGCGAGACACAGTTACCTCAAATGCTAACAAATAAAACTTAGCGAGAAAAACCTATCCTAGAATGATATCATTCCTATCATATATATTTAATATATTTTTAAAAAAATACAGTATTTTATTTTTTTATATAGGCTAGACTTTAGGAGATACTGAAAGGAGAGAGATTGCGAGAGTCAATGGTAACAATATGAGAGATGTTCTGTGCTGTAGTAATAGTCAAGGAGAGAATAAATATTATGAAAAAGTAAACAAAAATAAATAAATAAAAAGAGTTGAGCAGGCACATTAACGTTCGCCATGTTTTTCCAGAGGCCTGAAGGGAGCGATGCGACGAAGCTGCTGCTCCCGATAATGATAAAAAGTAGGGAAATTACAAGACATGAGGGAATTTTGAGTCTGTTGTGTTGGCAGGGAGGGCCATAGCTCGGATCTGAAACTATCGAAAGGGGAGGGAAAAAAGGGAATTTTTCAGATTCATTAAATCAAAGATTTGTGTTTCAGCTGCCGATATTGTTGTACCATAGCTTGATTTAATGTAACGGAAATTTAAGAAATATGCAGTGAAATGATTATAATATAGCTTAAATATTTGACCATGCATATTATTACATGCGACTTTCCCCTACTGTTAAAAATTCTAATTCATTTTTTTAAATTTTAATCAAAAATCGTATAGAGATTTTCATATAGATAATTCCGAAACGTTAGATCGATAATATTCTAGTATAATTAAGACAAAAAAATTAAAAATATTTTTAAATTGCTCGCTAGATTCAGAATTTCTGCAATTATTAGAACTAAATTAATTAAAACCAAAGTTCAAGAACATAAAAAAATGAGAATTGTTTTTATTACAGCCATTCTTGATCTGTTAGTTATCGGGATTTATAGGTTAACAAACTACATAAATTTAACGTTGCAAAGAGGTAGTAATCATTACAATCATAACAAACAAATATCTTATAGTGTGAAGGAAAAAAAAAATTAAAAGATATTATGTAACTCGATTTTTTCAATATCCTAAATATTACTGGTAGTTTTCTTTTAATTTATGTTAAGTTCAGGAAAAAAGTTAATTTTTTTTTTAGAAAAAAATTAAAAATAGAACCATATTTTGCACACATAAAAGTAAATCATGCTTCTAAAGAAATTTTTAATATGAGTTATAATAAATTGTAATATTATAGATTTACCTAATATTTTTTTTTTAATTAATGTTAGAGTTTTTTCTTTTATTTATTCCAAATTATCCATCGATAACTCTTTCCCGACAAGGACACATAAATTGGGTTGTAATGTTCTTTAGATACGTAGTTTTCTGTTGAGTTTTATACATCCTAATCGATTGATTCTCAAGTTCAAAATCTGTTTGAAATAAAGGAAAATTGTTCAACTGGTTGGAAAACATATTACCGGATACAATCTCACAAACATCAGATTTGTAACGTAAGCAGTGTCTATTTTTGCTCTTAAAATTATCGTAGCTTAACTGTTTTAGCATCAGTATTGGTTTGTTCTCAGTCTTTGGTGTACGGATTGCCCAAGCAAAATATAATCCGGCCATATTGCTTTAATATTATAAATATGAATTAAAAAAAAATATATTCACGAATTTGACACTCTGCTTTTTATAACACTTAAATGTTTTTCCATACCAATGTCAAATTATTACTGATTCGAATAAAAATAAAATTTAAGGTTTGTTAAAACAATTACAGTAAAGTATTTTTAATTTGTACAAGCAAAAAAAAAAAAAATAATAAAAACATCAGGATTATATGTTTTAATGATTTTCAAATACTGCTATTTTTTAATTTCTTATTTTATTCATTTAGAAATATAATAATCTGTCACGTGGACAATAATTATAGTGAAATATGAACACATTCACACCATATATGCAGAAAACATAGAATTAACAAAAGTAAAATAATAACTAAATAATAATCAAACAACTATATACAACAAAAAATAAAATAACCTAAAGATAAGTAAATTAAAAACATAAAAACTCAGTCATACCTTTTAAATACTAAAAAATTTTTTTCTTAATTATCTAATAATAAAACTAGAGAGATTAAATGTTTTAATTTATAAAAATGACGCTTACAATCGTTTGTGTGTTTATTTGGAGTATGTTTTGTTTTATTGTAAAAAAAATTAGTTTATAAAGTTAAAAAAATAAACAATCGTCCATCTGTCATCATTAGATCCGCTTTTCTTCAAGATTAACCAGTCTATTTTATTTAGATTGGCACCAAAGTCACTGATTAAACCGAAATTATATTGGAAAATCGATACTATCATTCGTCATTTTTTTTTCTCAGAAAATAGCAACGGATCAAAAGTTTCATGTACTTTTCAAAATAAATTATTGAATTAAATTGTAAGTTTTTTTTCCTTTTATTTACAGCCATTTCTTTATTGAATAATATTACCTTTTATAACAACTAAGGGCTGTAATAATAATATAGTTCATTCACACCAAATGTATATATATATATATATATATATATATATATATATATATATATATATATATATATATATATATATATATATATATATAATTATAATACCAAATATATATATATATATATATATATATATATATATATATGTATATATATATATATAAATAAATTAAACAGCCATACATTGAAAAATTAAATTAAAAATATAAAACACTCTAATGTAAATTCAAAAATATTTAGTAACTTTAATATTTAAATATTTCAAGCCAAAATAAAACTTTATATAAAATAATCAAATACATAATCGTTTTTAATATAAATTCACAGACTCGGTAGTAGGGCTTGGTTCTAGGTTCGCCATATAGTACGAAGGCATTACACAGACCTGAGGAATTTAGAAGCACCCTGTCTAATTCCAGCTATGTAATTATTCTGTACATTTACATAGCTTAATGTAATGTATCCTAGCTAATGTTTTAGAAAATAGGGTTGTCTAAATGTTCTTACAGCTGAAACACAATGTTTTTTACTTTTTTATACATTTCTATGCATAGTTTAAAAAATAAATAAAATATTATTATTTCTTAGAGGAATGATGTAGTTCAGAATAATGGTTATTTTGTACGGTATAGCTTTACAAAATTATCACGTAGGTGGAATTCCTTTTAATCATCTTGAAGAGCTTTCACTTCGAGGGTGGGGGGGGAGAGGGGATTAAGTTGGGAAATGATAAAGGAATTTAGAAGCGTTCGCGATCCTTTATAGATATTATGTTCTTGGGTTGTTTTTGAATTTAATTAAATTTCTCAGAGGTTCCAGTTTAAGGGAGTACATGGACCCGTAAGTAAACTTCAAAGAGAAAACAAACTGGGTTTAAACTAGTCAGCTAATTTCTCTTACGGGCCTCTTGAGATATAGACCTTTATCCGTTTCAGAGAGAGCTTGGCTACTCCCAGTTTGCGAGTGTCTTGCCTGTTTTTTTTTTGTTTTTTTTATTTTTTTTTTATTTTAATTTTTCTTATTTCTTGTTTGTTTACTTTGTTCTCAATAGTCATGGTGTTGTTTGCAGTTCCTTTTGAACTTGACACTATTAAAACTGAAATAATCTTGTTTTCACATTGTAAATTTTTTTTTTAAATATACATAAAGAAATTAATAAAATAAAAATAATAAATTCGCCCCCGGTGCGAATTCACTGCCATTGCACGTTTGGTGTGATCTTCCCCTTTATAGATGGTTAATTTGGTTGGGTGTTAATGTTGTTTTCTTTGTTAAAGTTTTTGTTTTTTTTTTATTTTTTTTTAATTACTTGATTACAATCTACTTTCTTATCATAGAATAATATTTTCACCTGTTTGCAGTGGTTTGTTGCTTGTAGGCTAGCTCTCACTCTTGGTGAATTAATGTTTTTTTTTTTTTAATTTTTTTTAAAACTTAATTAATTTTCAATTAATTTTAACTCTTCCAAAAATTTACAGTGTTATCATAAAACAACCTAAAGATGTCAGATATATGCTGCTACACACTGTAATGCCTCTCATTTCGCCAAAATTCTATGTTGCTGCATTTGAAATGTTTTAAAATACCATCTATAGTTCTGCCAACTAAATCTGTCTCCCTTTAATCTTAAAATGGCTTTAACTCTTGAAAAATAAATTATATATCCATTTTCCTTTATATTACTTATATTTCCATTAAAATATTAAGATTTATAAGACTGATGGAAATATAATGTAGAAATTCGTATTTGAATATTTACAGTTGGCAGAACTAGTTGCTAGGGCCTAATCTCTCTATAAACGCTTTCGGTGTTGGTACATGCTAAGTGTTCTGTAAAATATTTTACCTTGTAAATTTATATTTAATAATGCATTTTTTTCAGGAGGTATATTATTATTATTTTTATATTTTAAGTCATTATATAAGTGAGAAAATACAATTACATAACCTTGCATAATTTTGTTCATGTTAACATTATCATATGTTTTATTTCTAAATCTGTTATTTTTGTTTGAAATATTTGTTATATTTAGAATTATTGAAAAATTACTTAATCATAAATTTTATTAATTCAAATATTTCGACCACTTGGGTCAGTTTAACTATATTTCTATTATGATTTATGTATTTTATGCGAGATGTTTGTAGTTTTTCTATTCAACATTTGAGCGAAAGGGATTTTAAGTATCATCCGAGGTAAAAAAAAAAAGAAAATCTTTCTGACCAAACGGAAATTAAAAAGAACATGGTAGAAACGCTGTTGGTAGTACTTTGTATTTCGTGAATTACAACATTATTTCTAATTTGAGTGTTACGGTCGTTCTTTAAATGAATATATATATATATATATATATATATATATATATCGTTTATTTCCACATTGGAAGGAATATATATTCAACTGTTAGGCGATTTATAAGTTGGTCTCTATCGTCCGTTTATTTTTAACCGTGTTCCTAAAAGGGGATAGTTTACTAGTTAAGTATTGGGTTTCAGTTTTATATAACAGGCCTATCAGTTAAAATATCATAGATATTAAAAAAAAAAAGAAAGAAATAATTTAATGTGCATTTCAATCATATTATAAAATGATTTGGTACAGATAACAAAATAAATAAAAAACTATAAACATGTTTCCGTTAAAAAAAAAGTAAATGATTTTCTCGCTTATTTTTTTTAATATAAACTAAAAACTAGTAAATATAAAAATAACATCAAACTATTAAATAACTTATTTATTGAGAAATATTACAATCTGTCTCATAGGGCATTTATAATTGAAGATAATATTGATTGGGTGTGCTCAGTGACAAAAATGTAAAAAAAAATAATTTATATTTATTTTTGTCGAAGTTTCGGCCCAAAGTTCAGGCTTTCATCAGGACATAGAAAAAAAACCCAGATCACAATGGGTGTGAGATATTATTAACATTAAAAAGAAAATAATAATATGTAGCTGAAAGGTATAGTCAAAAAGTGTAAGTACAATAAACTTGACGAAATTTAAGTTATCTTTATAATAGTGTTCAGAGAACACATTCACGCTCTACGTTATATCGAACTACTAATGAAAAATTAAGCCTCTTAAAACTGAGTAGTCTGTTATAAGTGAAGACCTACGATTAGCGTCAAATCGGTTTTTAGTTCGTAGAAAACTATCATAGATAGATAGTTTATTGGCGAATATATAGATATTTTAGCCATGACATTTTGCTCATTTGGTGTTAGTAGTTGTTGTTAGTATTGAATGACAATGAAAGCGGATATAAATACGTATACATAGGTAAATTCCTATTGCCTACGATGTTATACTTAATATAATTTAATAATACAACGAATTAAATTTTTATTTCTAATAAATAATTAGATAGTTGTTCCTAATACAAAAAAAAAAGTGTGAATCTTAATATAATTTAAAAATATAATGAACTAACGTTTCAAGCCCTTGACCATGCCTCTTTTTTTTTTGTATTTGAAAATAAAAAATAAAACTATTGTTTTCAAAAAGCGCTAGGAATTTATATGAATTAGATCGTTTGAAAAAAAACAAACTCATCTTCCCCTTTTCATATAGAATGTAGTGCACAATAGAGGAAAATACCACTATTTCAATAATATCGCTTGCCATCTTTAAGTACAGTTGAAAATGACACTTCTTTGAGAGACACTCTTCACTCGGTAAACTCAATTCCCCCAAATTTATTATTTAGAATCTTCTTAAACCAAGACCTCGAATTGTCAAACAAATCTATGTAGGATGTAAATAAATTAGCATTTCGCTGAATCCCATTTATGGGTGAATGGAAGGCATAATTGGTTGAATGAAAATTTCTAGAAAAAAAGCTGAGGATGACGAAGATGGACAGAAACTAGAAAATTAATTTTACTGAGGGGGGTAGAAGAATTGATTTTTCCATTAATTAATTTAAAGAGGAAAATAAAATCGTTTTGGATGTGCCCATGTGCTAGAGAATCGATATTTATGTTCATATTGTTGATTTTATTAATGGTTTATGAGTTTTCTTATTAAGTGTATAACATTAAATAAACCACAAGTCTTTTTAAACTGAGCAAAATCAATCTTTATTAAACTAACAACACAACTTCATAGAAAGAACAGGGTTATAACTAAAACATGTGTTTTATATATTTCCTTATTTTAATTCATATAATCGATATAACATATGATCGATATTAATAAAATTACTTTTAACACATATTTCAAAAATGTTTACAAGATCTATGAAAATACCGATAATTGATAGTTTAATGGTATCGATAGTTATTGGCCTATATCAATATGAAAATATTGATTGAAAATTTGATAATTGGGCCTTCGATATCCCATTTCTAATCCATACTACCATATTATATGTAGGGACTTACTTCTAGGTCATAGTTTAGCCATCAGTATTCGACTTTTCGTATTTTCTTAATAGATCTTTGTTCACATATTTTATTTTCATGTAAATTTTGGTCATACTTCGAATTATTGGGAGGAGAATCGCCTATGTTGTATTTTATTGATTTTGAAGATTTTCTTCTTCATGCTTTGATAATTTAACAATGAGCCAAATTTTTTTACCTAAAAAATCTTTATGACTTTTTTATCTTTGTTTTTTTATTGAAATATCCTTTATATGAAAAAATATTTTTACGCCGCCATCGGTTGTTATTTAAATAAACTAACGGAGAGAGAAGCGGAAACATGACTGTGTTCTAAAAGAGTACTCTCCGACCTTTCGCAGCTGCCGCTAGCCTTCATCAGGCGTCGGCTATTTCTGTTCCTCGCTGCTTCTGCCAACTCCTCCCGTGCGCCCGCCTCCATCGCACTCACCATCTCTTCGGTGAACGGTTTTTTTTGAACCGAAATTTTTGGCCGCTCCGCAAATGGTATGCAATTATAAATAGATGAATGTTGAAAGAGCACAGGTTGATGGGACTAAAACAAGCCCAGCCTTTCTCCAAAACGAATTGAAATATCTATAATATATAGTTTGCGGACCTTTTTATTACTAGAGGCCGCAGTAATTTTTATATTTCATAGCTGCCATTATTATTTTATTTTTTAAGTAAATCCAAATAAATACACCCACATGCGTATATTCAACTTAATTGTATTATTTTTTAAATTTTCGTTACCTAAATAATTAAATATTAATTTATTATAGCGTTAGATTAATGAAAATTTCACAATACCTAAGAAGTGGTGCGCAAGCTCAATGAGGCCACATGCGGCCTCAATGACGCAAATTACTCATCTAGACTGTAAGTAATACGATAGTGTAGATCCGTTTTTCAGATCTCAGAAGCGATGGATGTTGATGAATGAATTATCATACCAAACGGAAGGGCATTGCATGGAGAAGTAACAAATTCTAATTTCAAAACTTTAACCTTACTACAACTACGATATAGTCATTAAAACAAATAAGAGGTTTCAAAACTCCAACTTAAACTTTTTGATGCGGATTCATAACTTGGTCAGGTTTGGAACATACCGATCCATGAGTTTTAAGTCTAAAAATGTACCGTTCTTCAGATAAACTGTAATTACCGTCATTTAAGGGACGGAGTGCCCGAGCGGCTAATGCGTGTGCAAAACACACATTGCCTAGCAACCTTGATAAACCCAAGTTTACGAGTTCAAATCCCGGTGCCTGGAAGACCTTCAATTTTGGCTATAGACCTTCGCCCCGGTCCGGGATAAAACACGCATCACCTAAAAAGTAAGGAAAGGGGAAAGAATACAATGAGTTAGTGAATTTAAGTATCTTTATAATTAACAACTTAATATTCTAAGAGATGTAAAGGTTATTGATTGTTTGAAAACTAATAAAATTAGTGAACTAGTTTCTATGGAATTCAACTCATTGTGCCATTATCTGGAAAGTAGCTTCTACATTATATATAAGGTAATAGTGCAACTTATTATCAAATTATTAACATCCGCCAGAAACTTCGTGATTACCTTCATCTCATCGTAACATACAAAAAGTTTATTTACGAAAACTCTTGGAATTGGGGCGTTTTCAACCTGGAATTCTGCAAAATTTTCTATATAATTAGGTACTAAAAACTCATTAATACGGACTAGATCGTAAGATAGTTTGATCACAAAATCGATAAAAAAGGTAGCATACAAAAATATTGGGCTGTTTGGCCTTTATAACCTCGTTATGTTGATATTTTCTCGATTAAGTGCTCAAATTATCTTACGATCCGAGTGGAAAGCAAATGGGTATTTACGAATTTTAAGTATCTAATTAAATAGACAAAGTTTGTAGATTTCAAGATTGAAACGCCCCAATTTCGAGAATTTTCGTAAATAAAATAGTTGTAGGTTACGATGAGATGAAGCTATTTACGAAGTTTCAGATGGATGTTAATAAATTGATAAAAAGGTGTCTGTACCACGGACTATAGTATCTCGTATTTTTGACTGAACCCCTAACCAACTTCCCTTCAATTATTCACTACAATCAAACATCAAGCTGCTATCTAGCTTCGGGCTGAAGCCCATCCAAAATGGTATATCGTTACCATTTCGGTGGGGCTATACCAAATACTGCGATTTTTCGGTAGCTATATTTTTATTAATTATTCAAGAAATCCAATAATTAAGCATTCATTTGGAAGATTATCTTTCTTTCGGTCGCGACAAATAAGTACATACCCCAGAAAAGTCAGGGAATAATATTATAAAGAAAAGAAAATTTTATTTCTGCATGACTCAAAAAATATAACTTTTATGGTGGATTATGTACATAAAAAATTGAAATGTTTCTCATTCCTCTACAATGAAATGAAAAATAAATCCCAATCCGATCATTTTTAGTAAAAATATGTTCAATTGAAGTTTTTACACACGTTTCGCTTTATTCTTTTTAATGTACCATTGTAATCAACTAATGAATACAAAATAGATTCCTCCCTGTGGTGATTGTAAACTCAATTTTTCGACTTGAAATCGACTATCTATATATACGCTAACAACCTATGTCAGATCTCTTCTATTTTCACATGGCCGCCATTTTGTATTCCAGCGGTTATTTACTGGTAGACGTGCATTTTTCTCATCAGGCCTGTGGACCTGATTAATCTATAAGGACAAAGCTTAATATGAAATATGAGACCTTTTTTCCCTCGGGCTCCAGGACAATACATATCTGATGGAAGCTACATGTAGCGAAATGCAAATAAAACTTTGACATTATTATTCCATCCGACTAATGGATTGTCGTGTTTGTTATACAAAATAATAGATGGACGCCAAACCCTAAATTGACAAGGAATCGTCAAGGGCAACATTGTATCGCCTCTCGACCAACAAACATGGAGGGTTGCGTCAGAGGATGATAGGCCGATAGGGTATTGTGGGTTAATCGAACGCTCAAGTCTTCTGCCCTTTTCAATTAAACATTCACGGCACTTATATCGACAAGTTGCCAACAAAAGGTGGGGGGGGGGGAGCAGATAGGACCCGAATTAAAATGTCAATAGGAAATGTCAGGTGAGAAGAGGGTTCAATAGCAGGAGTTTGCCCGATTGTCTTCTGGAAGTCGCCATTGGATAAAAGTAGTCATTCGTCGCTGTCAGTCGAGCGTCGGTTTTTCCTCTGATCGCCAAATAAACGTTTTGCCGTTTTCAGGTCATGGCAGTAATGGTGATAATCGGCATACATTAGGCCAATAGCTTCTGTATTATAATATCGATTTATAGCTATTCCAAATTGTAGGATAATTTTAATAAGATAAGTTTGTACTTAAAGTAAATATTTTCAAATTTTATATGGAGACTGTATCTCCACTTAAACCTAATAAGACAATGAAAAATCCAACTTGACATATTTGCTCTTTTATAAATAAATAAAATTTGCTCTATTGTTGGCCAAAGTGTTGTCTTTTAAAATTAGAAAATAAATAAAATATATGGTTATTAAATGACGTTACACTCATGAAAAAAAAAGTTTTTTATTAATCAATCCCAATATTTCTTTTTTTTTTTTAATATAACATGTGTCAAGATGTTTCTAATATTCTTGAAATATTTCCCAATATTTCTTTTTTTTTAATATAACACTGTTTTTTTTTTAACTTATTTAAAATTAAATTTATGTATATTATGAATCAAAAGATTATTCTTCTACAGAACTTGCTTTTATTAAGAAATGATACCTGTTATAACAGTTAAGGGCATTAAGTATTAAAGCTATATGAGACTCATTCATACAGTATGACAAAAGCAAAAGTAAAATTATAACAAAAGAAAAGGAAAAAATATTTTAATAAAAACAAAAGAAACTAAACAATAAATAAAATATAAAATTCATATAAACGCATTCATACTTATTTACAATCATTCGAGGTAGCACCGAGTCTGGGCCTTTTCCCCACATGTGAAGGACAAAGCAAGATTATAAGAGATCCCAACGCTTCTCTCTGAGTCTCATCACTGGTATGGGGCTCCAGTGAAGACAGAGAGGGTACAAAAGCCACAGATGATCAAGACTTGAGTGAAGAAGCTGGCCATTGCCAGAACTCCAATGGTATATTTACAAAAGATCTCAGAGCCACTGCCCAAAGATTGTAGGAATGGCTAGAGCTGTATAAAGGTTGTAATAATCGATTAGGATGGTGAATAAGGCTCTGATGAAATTTTGAGAACTGAAATGGAATTACGTCAAAAACATAAAGGATGTCAAGATCATGGCGTTTTATTTGCAACGTAATATGAAGCATTGGCTATTGTACGAAAGCCTGTAGACTGGAAGGATTGAATGCGTTTGATGTTACAAAATATAGCTTTATATTTAGAATATTCAATTTGGGTTCTAGACCAAACTGTCATTAGAAATTATTTTTTAAAAAGCTTATTAAAACTTCGAAAAAAGTATCGGACTGAATTTCAGCACAAACGGTAAATAAAAACTGTAAAAAGGTGAAGGTGGTAATTTACCTATCTTCTTAACTAGCCTTGCCAACACTTGTAGAGTACAAAAAGGTACTACGTATTTATCCCCCACAATCTAACGCAAGGATTTTTCTTATATTATTTGCGGGTACCTCGAACATAGAACCGGAAGTGAGTAACAATGATGAAAAGTGGTGCAAATTCACAAGAAAAAACTATACCTATGGATCTCTCTCTGAAAACTGGATGGCCAAGCTTTTGATGACGAAAGCTTCCCTTGAAAAGTAGCTGTTTTGCCCAAGTTGTCTCAACAAAACAATGAATGTAATATTGTTTGGCAAGAGAATCGCTACCAACTTGGCAATCGTATCGGATAATTTTAACCAGAGGAACAGCCAGACATAAAACAATAGATAAACATACCGCTGGTTCGAGCCACGCGCGCTACTTTAGAAAACAAAACTGAATACACAAATAAGTGGAACTGGCTGGTTAATACAGTAAAATGTGCAGAACATCTCTATCCTAAAAAAAAAACAACAAAAAAAAAGAAAATTTAAAATAATAATAAAATATTTTTAAAAAACTTCATTAAGTTTTCAATCATAGATTATCATCATATTTATGAAAAAATATAATTTTAAATCATGTTAAGTATTAAATACATCACATAAAGAAGAGATGGAGGATATTTTACATTGATAACAAAAGATATGATCGAGATCGAGCGTGTTCAGAAGCGGCGAGAGTTCGAATCCTGCCTGGGAAATTATTTTTTCCTCCGAATAAATCTATATTCTCCCATTGTGAATAGAAGAGGAATTAATAATAAACTTTTAAATGTTATTTTTGTGATAAATATTAATAAGTCGTTATGGAAGAAGTAGTTAGGGTCTTTTTCAATATTTTGAAAAT